ACCATTCATCTAGGCTCCTTGTGGACCATTCATTTACTTTGAGTGACATTTATGCATATTTGTGTGGTGTGCAAATATATAAGGTGTGTTGTGGCACCTAATGGGCTTTGAAAAGGTCTTCCCCTCTGTGCTCCTCTCCTCCGCTGCTCTGGATCTTCACAATCAACACTGAGCTCATCTTAATTGAGATGCCATATCTAATATGTTGAGATGGCCAAGATGAGAGCACTATCATTTCTTTCCATCTAAAATAATACAGGCAGGGAGGGACGAGAGGTCACATTCACTGCTGTATTAAAAGAAATTAGGCAGAATGGGAAGTTTTATTCTCATTTAAATGGCTGATATTAGATTCACAGTGTGGGCACTGTCTCTTTTTTCCTTCCTCTCTCTCTCTCTACTTCTTTCATTCTCCATCCTCATGGGGATTTTGTCACTTTATTTGATCATTCGAGGCATTTTAAAATAGTTTTAGCAAGGGTTTGCATTCGCGACCCTCCTAAATGGCACCTTACAAAGAGTTTGTGGCCTCTTGTTTAAAAGATTTAGTGCATTTTTCATGATTCTGCTTCTTGTCTATTTTTAAAGTTACTTTACTCTCCATTTTGGGAAAAACAGCACATTTTCATGAGAAATTTGGTCTGTGGTTAGACTTATGTTCGGTTATCTCTACATAATGAATCTATTTACATGTAAAGCTCTTAAAAAATCTATTTATTATATTATAATATATTACATATTACATTACTTGTTTTGATATGTTTTCTTTTACCCGCTTTCCAGTTTTCTTTGATTGTGAAGCACTTTGTGTGTGTGAAAGGTGCTATATAAATAAACTCTCACTTACTTATTCATCTATTGCTTTATTTAACTGCCATAATACAGTAGTGTGTTTAAGTTATCTTCAACAACTCTATCATGATTTTTACATTTTCCCTAACTATTGATTAACTCTAAATTACTTTTGTTTAACTTGTAACACAGATTTCTTCATGCAAACAACATACCCACAATAAACCATCAAGATCCTGGCTTGACAGCCATATTTATTACAGAAATTAAAACACAGGCATGTTAATGACAATTAAATTTTAAAACAATCAATGCCAATAAAGAAAACACTGATTTCCATGTTGGATTCTAAGTGGACTGCAAAAAAATGCCAAAATACAGGGATTGCAGATATGGAAAATGAAAAATTATAATAATAAACTATAGAATACAAACTGTTGCACTCATTGTAAAGTTTTATTGCTGTGAGTTGAGAACATTAGTTATAGAGTAGAAACAATTTTGCTTAATCCTCCTTTACATTCATCCAGTTGCTAAGACTAGGAGTATCCCGTAAGTGCACAGAGACTCCCAAATGCCTGCAAATGACTGATAATTTCTTGCAAACCGGTCGTTAAATACATTGCACACCCCTCTCGCCCCTACTCAGATACCTCACTCCACCCCTGACACCTATCAACGGGCCTGACTCAGACACACACACACACACAGACAAACACACACACAACGCGCTGCAGACGTTTTGGACGGCCTTCCATACTGGAGCGACTCACCTCAGATTCAACACGCATGATCACATTCATCAAATTTGCTTAAACTAAGCGTCCTAAAGTACTACTGTATTTCACAAGGATTCTGACAACAATGCGAAGCATACGCTTTCATTGCGTTTAATGAGAAAACACGCTAAACTTGGAGGGATCATGCTGAAAGGCAGAGTAATGCCCTGTCTTTGACAGCCCGCGACTTCACCAGACGTACTGAGTACATTTACATAAGACACCAATACTCCGATTTTAATATGATTAAGATAATACTCTTAAATTTCTACCGTGTAGCCTTAAAAGGAACCTTACCTAAAGGAACACGAAATGCGGAGGATTTTCGTTCTGTTTGCCATGCGGTATCAACTTACAACAGAAGTCGAAAGTTAAAAATGAAACACCCGAAATTGCATGAAATTCTGGATAACCTGTGATGTACCTAATTGTTTTATACTGGAACTTTCCTTCAAAAAGTGCTTCCTTGGTCTTATCCACATTTATTGCATGTTGAACACACGTCTACCACAACAGGAAGTAAAAAAAACCTGCTTGCGTTAATTGCGTTAATTTTTTTTTACGCGTTAATTATTTAAAATTAATCGCATGCGTTAACGCGTTAATTTTGACAGCGCTACTATATATATATATATATATATATATATATATATATATATATATATATATATATATATAACAATAAATATTTTCAGAAATATATTAAAAATCAAAGGCAACAAACGGGGTACAAAATGTTTAAACAAGTAGATGGGAGAGTTTCAGAGATGTGGGCCCCGTCCAACCAATTGAAATAAATAAAACAAAATAACCTATTGTATTGGCCCAACTTCTACCATAACTATCTAAAATAAAAAATATACCAATATTGAAAAGAAAATCTTCACGTCTCTGACACACTACCTTACCTACACTAACATAACCGAAAACTAAAAGTACATTGGAACTCGCCCCTAATCTGGTGTGAATAACAAAAGTGATATTCAAAACACAATGTATGTCGCCAACATCCTTACCTGTCCCACTTTCAAACCTCAGATGTGCGTAAAACTGATGGTGGACAAATGGAGAATAGATAACAAAAATGGACATATACCAAAATGTAACACACTGACTGAACAGATTGAAATGATTCACTGACACACAGCACAGAAATTCTAAGTGTTCTGGCCCAGGCGAGTAGCATCCTTTCACCACTTTAAAGAGAGAGAGAGAGAGAGAGGGAGAGAGAGAGAGAGAGAGAGAGAGAGAGAGAGAGAGAGAGAGACTGGCGAAAGGAGAAAATCATAATTGCAAAACAACACAGGGATGTAACAGCTTACAAAACATTATTCTTTTTTTTTTCTGTAAAACCCAACATTCAACTTTATCAAATAAAATGAGTGTAGTAAACTCAAAATTGACTGAAAGTTAATTCTACTCGTTTGTAAAGAGTTTTGAACTTGGTGTTGACCTTTGTTACTTCAACTTAAATGGAGTAAGTTCACAGTACTCGTATAGATTAGTTTTTAACTCTCAAATATAGTTAGTAGCAATCGGTTTCCTCAAATAGTTTGAGTTGCCTTAAGATATTTAGAAGAATATACTTTAGAAAACTGAAATCCACTCACATCCTTATAGAATTTAGTATGCAAATCAATGGCTATTGCCTTTCTTTCTTTCTTTCTTTCTTTCTTTCTTTCTTTCTTTCTTTCTTTCTTTCTTTCTTTCTTTCTTTCTTTCTTTCTTTCTTTCTTTCTTTCTTTTATTTTTTTGGAAATGCTGATAGGTATTCTGTGTTGGTACAATTATGTATGTATTCCAGTTATCTTTGGTTCCAATTATTGGCTATTTGCATTCAAAATATTGGCATTTGTGTTCAACAGAAGAAATTAACTCAGGCAAGTTTCAAACAAATTAAGAATAGAATTGATAGAATTTTCATTTTTGGTTGAACTATCGCTTTAAGCACTGCTTTGAGGCTATATTTAGAATGTTTGTGTAGTGAGTAACGAACAAACTCAATTCATAAATCTGCTCTTCCTCTTTTAGAAATTCATTCCCCCCTTAAGAATATCCCAGCAGTTTCCAGGCACCTCACCTTTAATTCAGAGTTAAATATTTGAAATCTCTTTAGAGGCGTTTTTTAATTTGGCACAAACGCTGCCTTTGGGGGTTGTTTTAGCTCATATTTAGCTTTTTGGCAATTATAACTCTCACCTGGTGTGCGTCACGATAACAGCACAGCTTCACGCAATTATACTGCTGTTAGTAAATGACTGTGACTCTCTGATGCTGAAATGCCATTAAAGGATCCCCGAAGGCTATCAGTGATAACAGTAAGACTTTAAACTACATCTCTTTCTCTCTTTTTGTTTTATCATTTCAGTTAACTTAAACTTTTCTTAGCTTATTTTACAGTATGTTCACTCAAAATGGTTCCTAATATATCTTCAGGAGCTTATATGTCATGTGCTGCCTCCAAAAGTGTTCTGATGTGGATTATGAGGACTCTCCATGAGCTTATTATATTTTATACTATTAAAAACCTTAACCTCAACCCTCACATGAAACCTGTGGCAAATTGATTTTAAGGGTTTCGATTAACAAGGACACAAAACATGTCCTTATAAACAACCTTAATAGAGTACAACTAGGTCATACCTATGTAATTATACAATTTTGTGTCCTCAAAAACCATATATACACACACTTACATACAGTACAGACAAAAAAAGATTAGTTTAGCGTGTCACAAACTCTATCAGTGTGAACGCTGCCATTCAACCCTGGTTTTCACCAAACAGATCTTTTGGAGACCAAGCAGAACAAAAGCTCCAAACAGAAAGTTCAACTGAAGTATTGAATAAAAGTCATTGAATTAACCTTAAATTGGGCATGTCGCAAGATTTAATAATAAAAGGAAAGAATCATAAAAGTTGTTTTTTTCCTCATCTTAGTTGCTCGTTACAGTTCAATACAAACATTAAATACACATCTGGAGTTTCCAGCTGATAAAATTCCATCACATAAAGAGGTTTTTGAAAAATGTTTTGAAAATCTGTTTACTAAAAGGTTCTTTAGGGCAAATGGTTCTGTTATGGAATTATAGAATGAATTAGGGTTGCACAATATATGGTTTCAGCATCGATATCACAATGTGTGAGTCTGTAATTTTTTTTTTTATTGAGTACTTTAATACACTTAAATTTGTAGAAACAAACAAGTTAACTTAATTCCTTCATGTTGTCCTAACACAAATTGATTGTGGGGAACCCTGCATTTTTTGAAGTGTACATCAAAGTTGGCGTTTTCTAATGAGGAGTTTATTGAGTATATTGCTAAATAATATCCAAAACGGCATAATAGGTGCACTTTTTTGAGTTTGTACAGGTAAACTCTACTATAAAGTGTCAGTTGTGAAAACTGTCAATGTGCTCCATTTTCCAGGCGAGCCAGAGCAGAAGTCCACCTCAGAGACCCCGGAAGTAGTTGAAGAGAGCCGAGATGCTGTGGAGGCCTCGGCCCCGCTGCTGGAGAGCCCTCAGTCAGCTCTGCCTGAAGAAGAGGCTCGCAGTGAGGATGGAGAACAGGTGGAGAAAGCATCCAGTGATTCTGTAGGCAGCGGCTCCTCCTTTGAAGAACTAGACCTGGAAGTTGAAGAGGAGAAGCAAAGCGAAGCAGACGAAGAAGACCATAATGGACAGCAGAAGCCTGTGGTGATGGGAGAAACAATGGGCAACAGGGAAGAGTGAGGGATGAAGTGGATTAGAGAGAATGTGGATGAATGATGAGTGCATGTGTGAGAAAGAGAGAGAAAGGTTGTCTTTGAAATCGTCAAAGGCTCCCCCCCTTCATTAATCTTTGGAATTAACATCTCTAAATATCCTAAAAGTTACTTCTTTGTTATCAGCAAACAAGCAATTATCCCCTTTAGAAGCTTCTATTAAAGACTTAATGAAATGCACATTATATTTTTCGGCTTTGTATTTATTTCCGAGGAAACAAATTGTTTATGTTGCTTTAGCGTTTGTTTTTCCACGGTGATCTGCATTCAGGCGAGTAAATCAGGTGCAGATTGAAGACGAGGATACACTGTTAATGCAACTAAATGAAGCTTAATCAGAGATTTGATTTCATTAACATGTCCTACAGATGATGTGTTCACTAGTGTTTGCTTTAAAACATGATTAGCTCATTCCAAATGCTGTCTTTCGCTGTAGACTAGAAGTGGGAGAAGAGTGAGATTTTTTTTAAAAAGTGCATGATGATATTAGTGGTTGGAGTGTGCTTAATATGAGCTGCTTATACTATTTTGTGCATTTAATTAATTAGTATTGTTTTCTACACTTCTGTACTTTGAGTATGGGTCACAAATGAAAGGTTTCAAGCATCAAAACAATAAAAGTGTAACAGCTTTAGTTTGTTTCTTTGTGGATTCAATTTTTTGACATCACTTTTTGGTTTATCTTTGCAAAAATGTATTTAATTCAATGTAATTCATGTTTTTCTTTCCAGATTTAGAGAAGACACACTAAGATATTATTCAGTATAACATTTTAAAGAGGATTTTTATTTACAAAAAGTATCTCATGATTAAATATTAAAAGACTGGATTTAAAGATAACGGTGCAGGCCTAAAATGCTATTTAATTCTCCTTTTATATCATTCAAACCACTAGTTTTAACCATTTGTGTTTAAGAAAAACTAAACTAACAAGTGTTCAATAGAAGTGTTACAACCAGCGATCGCTTCCTAAAGGATCGCTGGTTCTCACACGAACTCTAAACTACATTTCCGCTTTTCCCAGGACTACACATTCATACATGCACTGCTCCCAAACACGCACGTCTGTTCATTCATCTATCCTGATTGCATCACCAGCTGAGCCTTGTTCACAGACTGATTTCATTCCATTCATAAGCCACTCATTCAAGCTTCCAGTGGGCCGAGTCTTGTTTTTCCTGTGTAACATTACAACGCGTTTCCCTGTCTTGTTTCTCTGTGTTTAGACCCTAGCCTTGTATCCCAGTTATCCTGTTTAGCCGCCTGCCTTTCGACCTTCTGCCTGTTTATATCGACTACGATTCTGGACTGTCTATAGATTCCTGTTTGCACCTGATGACCACTGCTTGCCTGACTTTGAATAAACTGCACATTGGATCTTACCTCCTGTTGTCTCCTGTCACTCCACCCCAGTCGTGGTAACAAGAAGAAAGTCAATCAGGTTTGGAACAAGGGGACATAAATGAGGACAGAATGTTCAGTGTTAGCATTTTGAGGGATGTAAACATAAACAATGGTCCTGACGTATTTCCTGTTTTACTTTTTAAATTTCCATAGCTTCTGAGAGTCTAAAAAGTTTCACATATTAATAAATAATGTTAAGATAGCTATTTTAACATCAAGTAATAATTGAATCGCCTCGTTTCAAAAAAAAAAAAAAAAATAGTTTGACAAGCAGGAAATGTTCATGGGCTAGTAACATGACCACATTAAAATGGTCTATATAGTAGCTGACAAAAGTCTTGTACATGTTGTAGGAACAGCAAATAATAACTTGACTTCCAGATGATCATTTGGTATCAGAAATGGGTTATATGAAAGGTAAATACCTCTAGATTACGCTTATTTTACTAAAATAATATATGATCATGCTTTGATTTTTAATTAACTAGGACAGTAAAGTCTGACTTTGCTTAGACAAAAGTCTTGTTACTAAACAGAAATAATGTGAAGTATAGAATATAAAGTCATGACGCAGTATAAAAAGAATTAATATTGTGTATGACTCCCATGAGCTTGGAGAACTGCATTAATACATCTCTGCAATAACTCAAATAACTTTATAATAAAGTCATCTGGAGTGGCAAAGAAAGCATTCTAGCAGGACTCCCAGAGTTCATCAAGATTCTTTGGTTTCATCTTCAATGCCTCCTTCATCTTACCCCAGACATGCTCAATAAAGTTCATGTCTGGTAACTGGGCTGGTCAATTCTGTAGCACCTTGACCTTCTTTGCTTTGATCTGGAGGCTGAAGTATGAGAAGGAGCGCTCTCCTGCTGAAGAATTTGCCCTCTCCTGTGGTTTATAATGGGCAGCACAAATGTCTTGATACCTCAGGCTGTTGATGTTGCCATCCACTCCGCAGATCTCTCGAGCGCTCACATACTGAATGTAACCTCAAACCAAGATTTTCCTTAAACAAACTTGACTGATTCTGTGAGAATCTTGGGTCCATGCAAGTTCCAGTAGGTCTTTTGCAGTATTTGTGATGATTGGGATGCAGTTTAACAGATAATTCGTCTGAAAAATCGACCTTCTGCCACTTTTCCAAATGATCAACTAAAAGTCAAAGTATTATTTGTTGCTCTTACAACTGGGATCAATGACAAGACTTTTGTCAGGTGGTGTATGATGTGTTGTTTTATTTGAAAATGTGAGGTCTTGACTTTGATCAATATATAAAAGATATCAAAGTAAAACCAGAAAATGTTCTCTTTACCATGTATTTGTTTGCTTGTTTTTTTTCATCGGAATTTTCTTGTTTGCTTTGGATTAAATCAGATTTTTTTTGTGTGAATGTTGGAATCTCATACTGTTATTTTCTCATTTTGATGCTGACAGTTACACTGTAATGTCTTTTGCAGTGTAATTCTGCAAGAGATATGTGTTTTTCTGCAAGAGATATTTTGTTTTGCTGATAGAATATATAGCACACACACTGCCTTTCTAAAGCTTGAGGTCTATAAAATGTTTTTTGATTTTAAAGACATGCTTTTAGACATTATTTTGTCAAGACTGAGAGAGATTAGTTAAAAAATTCAATCAAAGCAGTAATATTGTGAAATATTGCAATCGAAACAACATTATATTGCAATATAATCTTTAAATACATTGTAAAGTTGAAATGATACAGGCTTACTTTTCTTAAAAGATATTTAGTAACATTAAAAAACTTTTATATATAAGTACTATATGTTTAATGTAGTGTGAAAATACAACAATTATTTATTGAATTATTATAATATCACATGTCTCTTACACTTTGTAATATAGTTTCTTCTTTTAAATCTGCTTGTTTTCATGATTCCTGATGTTAAAGGAACAGAAGAGAGTCTTATTTACTATTTTAAGCTCAGGAAATCCTATCTGAAATTGTCCTTTGTAAAAAAAAAAAAAAAAAAAAAAACAGTCATTAGATTTGTTCTGATGTTATGTCAGTGTTTGCCTCTGACAATACAGATCAATACAACTATTGTGTCAAAAAGCTCCAGCAGGTTCTCTGCCAACTAAACACTTTTTCACAGGATTGCAATGAGCTTTGTAAAATATAGGAGCATTCAAGTTATGCTTATTTTAACCCATATTCATAGGTGGAGCAAAAAGAAGCTCAATATTAGGGCATATTGTGTCATTTATTCTACATTAGCTTCACATTTGCAATACGGTTGCTTTACTCAATAAGAACCCAGCTTACCTGCGGCTGAATTGTTTTACTCGTACAATAGTAGTATTACCAGTGTGATATTTGCATTTTTTGATGTTATTCAACAAACTCTCGGAATGCACCCACTTCCAATGTTATCACTCGATAGGATGGGGGTTATCAGTGGTTATCAGCTGATAGATATGGGCCAGTAGGGGCCTTCTGCACCTACTGATAGGCTCAGAAGGCTGTTATCATTCATCCACATGGTTAATCAGCTATAATAATAAAGAAGACTCCAGATCTAGATCTGTTTTTACGTTACTGTGACAGCTGGGTTTAGGGTTGGGGTAGAGGTAGACGTTTATAAAATACAATTAATGGGGAATTTATTAAATAATATAAATAATTCTCAGTAACTGCTGGCCGCAGTCATATGTGATCTATAGCTGATTAACCATGTGGATGGACGATAACAGCCTTCTGAGCCTCCCAGTTGGCGCAGACGCCCCCTACTGGGCCATGTCCATCAGCTGATAAGCACTGATAACACCCATTCAATCGAGCATGAAAGTAAATGGTGACTGAAAAATGTAGTAATGGAAAAGTTAACCCCAAAATCATGAAATGCTACTAATTTATTCACCCTAAGGTCAACCTGGATCTCAGTGCATCATCAGGAGCCACAGGTATTAGTTTTTGTTTAGCGTGTTTATTGATTGACAAATTGATTGACTGTCAAAGTGGTGGTAGCTGTTGTATTACATTAAATGAAGCACCAAAGGGCTGCTATTTCAGCTAGAATGTCCTTAGGGTGAAATCTAACAGCAAATGTTTCATTTTGAATAAACTATACTTTTAAATCTGAAGCCTTACATCTTGTGTTTTACAGAAGAAAGAAACCCAAATGAATTTGGAACAACGTGAAGGTGAGTAAATAATGACTAAACGTTGATCTTTTTGTAAAAGCTCTTCAAATGTTTTGCCTCTGGTCTTTAATGCACATTGTGTTATTTTTCAATTCTATTCATTTCAATTTCTATTCATTATCCACTAACACAGTGTTTGTATGATGAACACTCCCAATAGTAAGTATACTTTTTAAGATATTGGTGACGGGTCAACCACCAAATGATTTCACATGGTCTTCTCTCGCAAGTTTTAAAACATTAATAAGACAAGTTGGGATGTGACTGGCTCAAAGGATGAGAGGTCAACACACAATCTATGTTGGTTTTGAGAGCACATCCTCACGGGAACGTGACACGCTTTCCACTCGTGTCATGTTGAAACTTGTCCATCGACCTGAAACGGGACATTGATCTGATGATGTGTGATTCTGACAAGCCAACCTTAATACATCGACCAATTAAACAAAATCGACCCAATCTGACGTCGTTCTGCACATTTACATATTCAGTGTCTCACGGATCAGTTAAAGCAGAGCAGACTGAGAGAAGTTGTTGTCTTGATGGTTTGCGGTCAGTGTTGTCAGATAGAAACGCAGTTGAGGATGTTTCTCTGCCAGTGGTCGGGGAATTAGATGTGGATCTAGCACATATGAACACTTTTGTGTTGTTTTGCTGTTGCAGATATCCAGTCGATATTTAGAGCTCACCGTTTCAGGGTTAGACATCAAATCAGTGTCATCTCATCAGAGCATCACGCACACGCGCTCCGAGTCATCAATAGGTTATAGCCTAAAACTTATGCATTATAATGACTGTCTTGTCTTTCTTTAATACTCTGTAATGGTTATTAAAAGTTTTGCGTGTATTGTGCATAGCAATTCAAGGTAATTCGTTCTAAAAGGGGGAAAAATCTCAAGGAATCCAATGACGCGCGCGATGCCTTTTCAGTACCACGGACAGCTCCACGCGCGCACAGCGTCTCTGAGGCGCGCGCTCAATGCAAACTTCACCCGCTGAATGAAACCTGGATTCCACTGCTGGAATTCAGCCATATGTTTTTTTTTTTAATGCAACATTAGA